ATTTAAAGAAAAAACTTTTAAAATATGCATAAAAATGTAAAATTCTCTAATAAACACAAACTAAATTGTAGGGGTCAATGAATTTTCAAAAAGCCTTGGTGAAATAAATTTTTATAACGACATTACAAATATTTAAAGGCATATATTATAGGCACGGCTCTCAATGCCACACAGCATACTCTGAGCATAGAAGGACATCAGACTAAAGGAATGAAGCTTCAGCTATATCTTAAAGGAAAAGAGGCAAACAATATATGACACTAAGAAAGATGCTCCAGACAGATGCAACTACAAGTGTGTGCATCAGCAAGGAAGTATCAGAGATCATGTATATTTGGGACACCACAAGTAGTTCAATGGTTCAAAACAGTATATAAAAGGGAGCTTAAAGAAAAACATTTCCAGTGATGAGTCAAAGAGAAAGCCATGACTATATAATGACATGAGAAGATGTCATAATTTTATTTTGAAGACAATGGGAAACTATGGAAGGACATACTCAGCACTCTCTTTAGAAAGATCCCTGAGGCTTCAGTGGAGAGAATGAAATGCAAGAGAAAGGACTGGAAGATCATAAGGGAAAATAATACAACAGTCCCAGTCAGAAACATAAGCATGGTAACACGAAGTAGAGGCCCAGAGCCAGGAAGATTTAGGAGGAAGAAATACTAGAGCATGATGATTCATAAGATATAGACTAAAGAAAAGGGTAAGTTAAACAAATTTCTGAGGTTTTTTTGTCTAAGATAATAAGTAAATAGTAATACCATTACCTATGATTACAGAATGACTTAAGTTCCATCTTAATATAAGAATTCCTTACCATATCCAAATGAATTTCATCTATTTCAGTAAAATATCATAGGGTACAGATTATATAAAGCAGTTATCAAGTATATGGGCAGTAGGCAAGGCCATATAGGATGGCATTAATTAGAGTGCTCCCTGTCAAGGTCAAACATAAAAGACAAGAACCAGCAACAAATCAAGAGTGTTCTTCATGTGTCACATTTGAAGTCAAGGAACTTTAAAACCAACAAGTATACAGAATTAAAGCTAAGTGCAGAGGCAACATGTACTGTATATCATTTCAAGTAATATGTCTCACAGATAAGAGGACGATGCAGTCAGAGTTAGAGACTCAGAATCTGAAACAAGAATTATTTGTATGATTCTCACAATGATAAAGATAATGGAAGTGGTATCTGAGTGCCAAAAGAATTTTTTTAAGTATTATAAAAAGAAAAACACAATATGAAATCATGGATACATAATTTTTTAAATGTATATATTGAAAGAAGACAATGAGAAAAACTAAAAACACTCCATGTTACACTGATATTTTCTTCCTTTAATTATTTAAAGGAAGACTTATACTTTATGCTGACTTATACTTTCACAATTTAAAACATGAGTGCCTGCTTAGGCAAGCTTAGACAAATGCAGGGACCACAGTTCATCCCTGGCATCAAATGCCACACCAGCCCCATACGCAGGGTGGGCTGAGCTGGCCACAATAGATGGATGGACGGACGGACGGACAGACGGATGGATGGATAAAAAGAAAATAACCACTTTCTACATGCCCTCCTCAGATCCCACTGTAAATAGTGAAGGAACCAATTTGCAACAGAGAAACCATATTATTAATAGCAATAAAAATATACCCATAATTCAATCCTAATTTTTAAATAATCATCTAATCTAATCCTAAAATGTGCAGCCCTGAAATCTGATCTGCTTGTTTTCAAACATCACAATACTATAAGATTTCCCATGTCCCACAAAGCTTGGAAAATGTGAGGTAAATGACATATTAACTTGAACAATCATAAAAATGCTTACAAAGTATTTAATGAAAAAACCTTAGAAATGTTTCCGTATGTTTCTATGAAATATTCTTTTCCCAGAAAATGCACACATTCAAGATTTTATTTCTGGCTTTGTTTCAGGAAAAAAAAAATCCACATAGTACAGCACTTACGAACATATCTTAGTCATGCAATAGTTATGTCACAGCTCATATATCAAATAAAAATCACATTCAAGCCCACACAACCTCACAGACCCACATCTTCCTTCCTATTAAGAATATTCCTGAGGGAGCTCTCATTTCAACTCACTTCTGATGCCATGTGATGTCTTTGCTAAGAAGTTAAATCCTAAAAGTAAACTATCAGCCTGTGAGACAGTTGTAAATGACCTAAAAAACTGTCACTTGTTATAAACTGCATTTCCTTTCCATAGAAAAAGATACAGGAGTAATCAAAACCTGTCACTAGGCCTCATACCACTATTTTATTTTTTTTCAAAGCACATTAAAATGTTTATTTATATCTTGTCTTAAAAAATTATATTCATGGATTGCCCAGAGGCGATTTCAACAGTCTTCAGACTCTCTTGGAAATTTTAAATTATCATAGCAAGTTGAAGATTATAAACTTTCACAATCTTTTTTTTTTTTTTTTTTTTTTTTTGGCGGTACTGGGGAATTGAACTCATAACCTTGAACTTGCCAGGCAAGCCCTTATTCTACTGAGCTATTTCCCCAGCCCAACTTTCACAATCTTCACTAGACATCCTTGTCACTTGTGCTCCCGTGTGGCAGTAAGCTAACAGTTGGCTTCAAGCATGTCCACCGAGCAATGTCCAGCCTCCGCCACATTGTACACCTGGGCCAGCCGCTGCGCTCCGCACTGCTACGGCACCTGTTTCACGGTTGAGCCCCTGTCCCCGGGCAGGGCAACAGGGCCAGGGGCACGATGGGGCCTTTCGGGCTCACATGCGAAAAACCGTCTCATCTCCGCTTTAGTCTAAGACTACATGGCACCCACGACCACTAAAAGCAGCCCCTCCTAATCTCCCCATTTGTCGGGCAGGCAACGCAGGCCTCCCCCGAGGCCAGGGCGGTCGCGCTCCTCGGACCCGCGCCCCAGCGTGGGAAGCCACATGGCCCGAACCCCGGGCCCGCCGCAATCCCTGCGACTCCCATCGCCAGCACAGCGGCGGAGGCCGGAAAAGCAACACAAAAAATTTTAATAAAATATTATCTCATTAAGTCAAGTAAAATGATAATGCTTCATTCAAAAATTAAACTTGATTTTTAATGCTACCTCTATTCAATCTCATACATATGTGCATAGAAATAAATTCACTATAGATTATAAAAAGGTTTCTATATGAAGCAATATTTATAAACTGCAAGTATTCATGTACATTATCACTACTCTATCCATCTACCATCTGCAGCATTATATACTTAACAAACAAGCACCAGTACTGTCCTGTGGTTAGGAGGCCAGGTACAGTCAGAATACACGGATTGATAATCCATCTGTGCAATTTAGATCCATAACCAAGAACATGATTGTTGCTCTCTCAATGTCCTGATTCTCACGCACATGCAGGGAAATACTGTCCCTTTTTCTTAAATCTTTTGAGGCCCAATATAAATAATAACTTTAAAGATACCAAGCACTTAGAAGTATGCCTGCCTCATGAGTACTCAATCTACAACACTATTAACATGCCTTTTTAATTAACATAATATTTCCTTCACAAAGAAATTATGTTTAATTTCACTCCCATTATTCTAATAATTACTGACATTATAGGTAGAAAGAAAAAATGTGTTCATAATACACAGTAAAATAAATTATTTTCTAAATTAAACTTTCGACACACTCCTAGAAATGATCTTCAGTGCCAGCAGTGATTTTATAAACCAAGAGCAAGCACTAACAATATAAAGGTAATCCTTTGTACTGGACAGTAAAAGCTAGTTGACCTAGTAGGATATGTAAAAAAAAAAAAAAAAAAAAACCACATCCATTTAGTCCATTCAAAGGAAATTAGAGACATTTAAATAACTGCATGCTTTCTGTAGAAGAAAGGATAGAAGAAAATAAACAAATGATGCAATATTCAATAAATAGCTCATCAGTTTCCATTCTAGTTTTTTAAATACCAATTCTTTTTTTCATCAACTAAACTCCTTCCAGATTTAATCCATTCTTTTCCTTATAGAATTGGAAATTTTTCATTCATTAAATCATAAAATAGTCTGAGATAATTGATCTTTGCTATTAAAAGAGTTAATAAACACAGCCAACTACTACAAACTCAGGTCCTGTTGATGAATGCAATTTATCACAAGCAAACCATGAAGAATTTTTTACTAGCTATATTTTCTTAGGGAGAAACTGCAGATTTTGAGACTATGTGATATGCCTAAGATACCACAAGTAGTAAAAAGGCAACAGTGGGGACAGACAGACTGGGTAAGAGATTTGTGAGGCTAAAATTTAAAGCATAACATCCTGACTGCAAATCAGCAGATACACAAGAATTTGTCCTTTAACGTACTCATAAACTAACTACATTATGTTCCATCAATGAAAATAATTCACATCCATATTTTAACCTAAAATTCACTCTTCTAAATCATTTATGTTAACCAACCTTAATTATTTAAGAAGTTCAAACATTTGTATGATAAGAATCAGAAAGAAGAGTAGTGGATAAATGGACAACAGACCCCATTCATCTTTTTATTCCAGCAGAAGTATGCTTTCAGAACTGTGATCCAGTAAATTTCTCTTCATTTCAAATTAGTCTCTGGTATTCTGTTATAGCACCATACAATGCAGTAAGACAAAACCCATAAGGAGATATTTCAACCCCTACTTCACTACTTACATTAAAGCAACAAGTTTCATGGGACCTCTACTACAGGGAGGTCTCCCAAAATGCCAGGGTTTAATTCACCAATGGTCTGACTAAATTTAAGTCTACTGTATTACTGCAGTTACTCAGCCTCAGTCCTCTTATCCAGTGAGCAGATCATTCAATAAGGTAGGAAAAGCATTAAATGCAGCACTCCTCATATCAGGTTAATCTCTTTTTGGTCATTTCCAGAGGAATAATCAGGAAAAAAGCAGTGAGGATTACACAGCTCAGGATTTACAAACCTTTTACTGCCAGGAGTTGGTGGTCTCTATCACATTTATTTTTCTGTTTTATTTTATTTTATTTTATTTTATAGGCAGGGGTTACCAGGAATCAAACTTATGACTTTGCGCTTGCCAGACAGACACTCCACCATTTATATCCTGAGCCACATTCTTCTATTTTTTTTCCAAAACTTGTAAGAGGTATTATGATCTTTTAGGCTACATAACACAAGGCCAGACTGAGCCTCTAAACTGGATTGTAAACTGATATGTTGTTTCAAAACAGTTTCACCTATTTTGAAACCTCAAGATGCCACTCTGACAATTCTGGAGAATTATGCATTCTTGTTTCCTCCTGAAAGCAATTCCAAGCCAGCCTAACTGGTATAAATTCCAAGAAGCAGCCTAAAGGATAAGCAGGAAATTTACTTAACTGTAGCCCCACACCTAGATTGTCTTATTGCACTGACATGGTCATGAATGAGAATTTTTATGTATTTTATGTAAGGGTTAAGCAATACTGTATATGTTTTAAGCTCTATATATGTTGTGAGCCATTTGATCTCTAGGACAGCTACTCCACTTCTACTGTGTAGTATGAAAGCAACCCTAGACAATAAGTAAAAAGATGATATGAGGAACATAGGCCCAGATGAAGCCTAGCTACTAAGCAATAGCTACATGGTACTAGCGAGTATGATTCTAGTTAGCACAGTTTTCAAATATGAAATACATAAACTCAAAAATACAGTGCAAAATTTAATTTTCCTATTTCTTTTCCTCTGAAACTCTCTTTTTTCCCTATCCCAACTGATGGCAAGATAGCTCATCAGTCTAAAGCACCTGCTTTGGCAAGAGCAGGGACGTAGTTTGCTCGCTGGTACCACATGCAGCTCCAGTCCCACCCCCAGGTTGGGTTAAACCACACACACACACACACACACACACACACACACACACACACACAAAACAAAAGGGAAGGGCATGACAGGCAAGAAGACGAACGCAGTAAAAGCCATGAAGCAGAAGTAAATCTGGTGTATTTGAAAGACTGATGAACTATCTAGCCAGCCTGCACTTCTCTTTTTAAATTGATGTGTCCCTACTTAACTTTTGTCTCAATTGAGATTTCATCTGCCATGAATTACCGCCCTCTTTTCCCATGTCTTTTAGGTTATCTACTCAGAA